AATGGCGAAAACATGGAACAGTGGAGAACCTTCCCAGGAGTGGCCAGCCGACCAAAATTACCCCAAGAGCGCAGCGACAACTCATCCAAGAGGTCACAAAAGACCCCACAACAACATCCAAAGAACTGCAGGCCTCACTTGCCTCAGTTAAGCTGAGTGTTCATGACTCCACCATAAGAAAGAGACTGGGCAAAAATGGTTTGCATGGCAGAGTTCCAAGACGAAAACCACTGCTGAGCAAAAAGAACATAAAGGCTCGTCTCAGTTTTGCCAGAAAACATCTTGATGATCCCCAAGACTTTTGGGATAATACTCTGTGGACAGACGAGACAAAAGTTGAACTTTTTGGAAGGTGTGTGTCCCATTATGTGTGGCGTAAAAGTAACACCGCATTTCAGAAAAAGAACATCATACCAACAGTAAAATATGGTGGTGGTAGTGGGATGGTCTGGGGCTGTTTTGCTGCTTCAGGCCCTGGAAGACTTGCTGTGATAAATGGAACCATGAATTCTGCTGTGTACCAAAATATCCTGAAGGAGAATGTCCGGCCATCCGTTTGTGACCTCAAGCTGAAGCGAACTTGGGTTCTGCAGCAGGACAATGATCCAAAGCACACCAGCAAGTCCACTTCTGAATGGCTGAAGAAAAACAAAATGAAGACTTTGGAGTGGCCTAGTCAAAGTCCTGACCTGAATCCAATTGAGATGCTGTGGCATGACCTTAAAAAGGCAGTTCATGCCCGAAAACCCTCCAATGTGGCTGACTTACAACAATTCTGCAAAGATGAGTGGGCCAAAATTCCTCCACAGCGCTGTAAAAGACTCATGGCAAGTTATCGAAAACGCTTGATTGCAGTTGTTGCTGCTAAGGGTGGCCCAACCAGTTATTAGGTTTAGGGGGCAAACACTTATTCACACAGGGCTTTGTAGTTTTGGATTTTGTTTTCCCTTAATAATAAAAACCTTCATTTAAAAACTGCATGATGTGTTTACTTGTGTTATCGTTGACTAATATTTAAATTTGTTTGATGATCTGAAACATTACAGTATGACAAACATGCAAAAAGATAAGAGGAAAAATAAAAAAAAAAGAACAAAACAGGCCACAGAGCTTATTCAACGGATTAAAGTAACAGATCAGCTACACTCAACATCGCCCTCTGATGACCTATACAAAGAAAGAATCTTACTGCTTTCTTTCTTTCTTTCTACCAATGCCAATGCTATTGATCTCCACCTGAGGTCGCGCCTCACTCATTATGAGCATGGTGACCATGCCAGTAAGCTGTTGTCCCACCAACTTAAACAGTCATCTGCTGCTGGTTGTATAACAGCAGGATGAACATCGGAATATACTTACAAACCAAAATGACATCAATATTCAGTTTAAGTCTTTCTATGACATTTTATATACCTCTGAAGCTAACAATACAAACTCTGTAGACAACTTTTTCGATGGCCTAACCATGCCCACTTTAGAGGATTCAGATAAAAACCTATTGGAAAATAATATCACCCAGTCAGAAATAAGTAATGCTATAAATAAAATGAAGTCAGGCAACGCGCCTGGTATGGATGGGTTTCCCATAGAGTTTTTTTTTTTAATTTGCCCATAAATTAGGCCCATTGTTATTTAAGGTGTTTAGGGAGATACTAGATAGAAAGGCTTGACCTGCAACCATGACACAGGCCACCATCTCCCTGCTACTTAAAAAAATCGAAAGATTCTCTGCTCTGCTTTGCGAGTCATATTGTCCGATTAGTTTGCTTTGCTGTGATTATAAGATCCTGACTAAGGTGTTGACAGGCGCGAAAATTTCTCCCCAAATTGATACACCCGGACCAAACGGGCTACATTGCAGGTAGGCCAATATCTAGCAATTTGTGTCAGGTATTCAATGTGATTTATCAGCACAACAACATTGAGCCAGAAGTAGTGATCTCCCTTGATGCCCAAAAAGCGTTCGATAGAATTGAATACAATTTTCTGTCCACTGTGCTAGAGAAGTTTGAATTGCAATTTTATATGCGGCACCACAAGCTTCAGTACGAACAAACAAGGTGATATCTAGTTTTTTTCCTCTTTTTCATGGTACTAGGCATAGGTGCCCCCTGAGTCCCCTACTATTTGATGTTTCCATCGAACCCTTGGCAATTAAGATGAGAGAATCAGCTCAGATGGTGGGAGTGCGCAGAGGGGATCAAATGCACAAACTGTCTCTCTACGCAGATGACCTTCTTCTCTTTCTCTCACACCCTAACACCACCATTCCGATTGCTCTTGACCTTATCAATACATTTGGTCAAGTGTCAGGGTATAAACTAAACCTCACCAAAATTGTCTTATTTCCAATTAATGAAAAAGCTTGACAATTTGCCCTCTATAATTTTCCTTTTATGGTCAGTAAAGAAGGTTTTAATTATCTGGGTGTATATGTAACATACAATTACAACTGCCTGTTTGACAAGAATTTCACAAAAGCATTAATTAAAGTTAAACTAGACATGGATAAGTGGTCAAAACTACCTTTGTCACTGGTAGGAAGAATTAACTCTGTTAAAATGGTAATCATGCCTAGGCTACTATACCTTTTTTGGACCGTACCAGTCTTCAGTCCTAAAGTCTTCTTCAAAGAATTGAATAAACACACATCCACATTCATCTGGAATAAAACATCCCCCGGATTAGAAAGGAGTTTTTGAAAGACAGAAGGAGGATGGCGGGCTGTCCCTAACTAACTATCTTATCTTTACTACTACTGGGTAATGAATATCCACAAGTTGCTGTTTTGGTTTGCAACAAGTTATTCAGACGATGAGTCTCCAGTTTGGGTCCACCTGGAAAAATACTCCAACAATACAGCTTCACTCAGCTATTTGCTGTGCAGTCCTTTACCATTGAGTAAATGCCATTGGACAAACAATCCAGTTGTCCGGGGCTCGTTAAAGATATGGTTTCAGTTTAGGACTCATTTTATGATCCTTAACAGAACACAAGGGTTAACACAGATACACCTTCAAAACATGCCAAAATATATTTCTCTTGTGAATATTTTCTTTCTCCAAGCAATAGCTGTGCTAATGTCAGTGAAAAAGTAATTACATTTCCTGCAATTGCTTCAAAATAATAGCCATTTGAGGTTTTGAGGATATTATGCTTTTAATGTGAAGGAGCTGCAACAGGAAATGTTTCTTTACTATTAACAGACTAATGCTCCAGCATTAACAGCTGCATGAGAAGTCATCTCTGTAAGCAAAAATGATGAGTTTAGAAGAGGCCAGAAACTTTTCAGTGTGTCTATATTTGTTGAATCTTAGAGATGAACATTACTGGAACTGGAAGAGAGGTCTATTTGTGTTCTTGTTTGTTGCCATGAGTCAGACAACTTTTGAACTTTTAAACTGGAGTGGACTGTGAGCTAATGGACTCCCAGTGTTTTCCTATAACACATGGAGGACTGAGTGAACCATCTGACCTGTAAGCTCGTTTTAGGCCAGGGCACGGCACCTTATTTTTCTTACCCAGTGAGTTTTAAAATAACATTACTGGACTTGGAATACATGAAAGGTGACCGGAGTCTGACAGTCATCACAATCAGGGAAACATCAGGTCTGTCCTATGGAAAATAATCTGCCTTGGATTTAATAACATGGATGCTTTTTCAGAAGGATGCAAAACTAAAAATCATCTGGTTTAAAGTAAGACAGGCCTGACTGTGTTTGTGTTTATGCCTGCTTCACTGTTAACATGTGGAAGACTGCAAATTATCAAAAAGTGTTGGTAGCTGTCAGTCATGATTACGTTTGATACATGGCAGAGAAACAGCTGTGGATGGATAATGGTGTGTTTACATGTTAGTGAGTTTGGTTTGTCTACCCATGATAAAAAATGAGGTAATTTTACTGTCAGTCCTGTTTGATACAACTTTGGACATTGCAGTCAAATAGATGCAGTGATTTTTACTTCAAAATGGCCAGAGTTTATTTTTTCTATGCAGTGTGCTTCTTTGTCATGATCTACTCACCAACAATTGTTGTTATGTGAATATGGGCAGAAGAAATTGGTTGAACAAGAAAAGCACTTTGAATAAATGTTACAACAAACATTAGAGATCAAGTTAAATTATATATAGTCCAATATCACATATCATGAAATTATCATCATGAAAATTAGAATGGCAACAGAGAAACCAAAAGCTTGGATTTAACATCAACATACAGAAATAATAAAATCTGCTAATAATGAAAACCTTAATAACTATAATAGTAAATAAAAATGGCTCTGTTACTGCTGTTAGTACATCCACAAACTATCATGTGGGCTTATATTGATATACATTAAGTATAATGATGTTTACGCAGAATGGTTTTGACCATAGACTAACATCTGTACAGCATCATCCCACACACATCCCACATGTCTCTTAAAGCTCATTATTAGTCATTAAAATGCATTCTAATAATTTCCTTTTCTGAAGATGAGTTAAAGTTACAAGGCAACTCTTGTATGTGCATGCTCTGAACTGTTTTTGTGCTGGACCGTGACCTTGCAGTTGAGTTCTGCCTTTTTTGTTCTGTCAACAGTATTACAAAAATTGATTTTTAGCATTTATCAGTCAATTCAGAAATGTAAAATACATGAATCCACTCTTAGAAAAAAGTGACGTTTATAGTCTTAAAACCAGCAATGTATTCATGTGCAACATGTGCCATGTTAGATTTAAAAAAAAAATAGTGAATCATATACTGTATGATCATGTAGACCTTCTGAGGATTATGAAGAGCTAGAAGCAATCAAGTTCATAATTTTAATTATTTTTCTGCATTCTCTGGTGGCTTGTGGTCAATAAATGAATTTGACAAAGAAAATAATTAGTTGTGAATTTGTGCAGTTTTGCCCTATTTTGAGCTACTGTAATGTCAGTAGGGGTCCATATAGACACTGGTTTCATTAAAAGTTAGCACACCTATAGTGATATAAAAAAACAAAAAAGTCTTTACCTTTGGAAGCCTCTGTGCCATATGGCCCGCTGCTGCTTTCAGTCATATCAGGCAGCCACGCATCTTTGACTGCTGACTTGAAGACGTAACGGTTATCCAAACTCTGGATGGGCCTAAAGTTGCTGCGCAAATACTCTACTGACTTAACGTGGTCCTGCTGCTCTGTGGTGAAGATTGAGAAGAATGCCTCCAACTGGTGCCGTTGGGAAGAGCAAGCATGGCAGAGACAGAAATGGAGAGAGAGAGGAGTAAAGGCAAAAAGAATTAGTGCCAGGCAGAAGTCACATACTGTGGTGATTTTGAGTATACAATTTTGGCATACATTTTACAACTTTCATTCTCTTCATTAAAAACATAGAGAGATCAGAACAGGAATTTAGCCTAATTCAAATACAAGTTGAACAAAAGACAACATTTTTATATCCATGGGGAAACTGCGCCACTGCTTCAATAAAACAAAGGCTTCATCTCAAATAATTAGACAAAAAACACAAATAATATTTGCAATATATTCAGACAGGGCATCCACAGACCTTTAAAAATGTTTAAAAGATATTAAATTAGATTTTTAGAATATAGGACCATCTTCTCTTATTTAAAAAAACGGAAAGGTGTTTTTTCCACCTGCTTTCTAGATTTTCTTTTATGGTGAGAGGATTCAGGAAGTAATTCACCAGTGGCACCAAGAAAAAGACAACCTTAGGGCTATGGAAAATGCAGTCTTATTATACCTCTTTGATATTAACAAGAATGACTCAAGTTTGGAGCCACAATTACTAATGGGCAATGCATGATGACTGAGAGGACGAGAGGAGAGAAACTGAGAGCATCATGGACCCCCCAGCAGCCTAGGCCTATAGCATAACTAAGGGAAGGCTCAGGGTCACCTGATCCAGCACCAACTATAAGCTTTATCAAAAAGGAAAATCTTAAGTCTAATCTTAAAGGTAGAGAGGGTGTCTGCCTCCTGAACTGAGACTAGGAGCTGGTTCCACAGGAGAGGAGCTTGATAGCTAAAGGCTCTGCCTCCCATTCTACATCTTTGCATGTTCACGTAATTTGGCAATTCTAATAAGTGGCTTCAAAAAGTCCCATATCCACGCTAATAACCAGACAATTAAATCATAGGAAAGTGGAAAAGTCAACTTTCTGATTCAAACTTGAGAGAGACATGGCCTTGAGGGTTTCAAAGGTCTCTCACCAGAGATGTTAGTCTGGCAAGTGGCACCTGACAGCCCCCACCCCCAGCCCCAACCCCCCATATCTGCAGGCCTGTTGAGGTTGAAGGATTATTTCAAAAACAACATGAGCTTTCAGAGAGTGAGGGTCCTTGTGGCATGCATCTCTGAAGTGCTGTCCTGAGGATAATTGTGATTTTGGAGTTCTGATTGCATATTCATGTTTAGCCAGTCTGTCTTTCAGGCTGTGTTTTGTGTGCAACCACAAACACACTCCAAACAGAATTACAATTGTAGTGCTGAAGTTGGCTAAGTCAGTGCTTTGATGAACACAATGAAAATAATAGTAATATTTTCACATTATTTGCATAAACTGCAGCTGATAGATAGATCCCTTGCCAAAGTAGCCATAATGTCTCAGGCCATCTTCAGTCTAGAGATGGTAAAGTGCTTACCAAAGTTATGACAGATTATTATGATTGAAGAATTATCTAAGGTTCTGGGGACTAACTGTAGCAAAAGGCTGCCTGAAGTGCAGATTAAAAGGCTTGGTTTTCAGATGCAGTTGGTTTAAATCTGGTCTAAATTTCAACCTCCTAAACCAAGCCAAATACAGCAGCAATGTATGGGCCAGAGCCAGCTCACATTTGATCCTCTGAGAAAAGAGCCTTCACACCTGGCTGTACTTGGCTCCAGCAAGAAAACCGGACCCTGAATGGATACTGACATCACAGCCTGTGTCAGTGTTAAAAACCTGCACACATTCTGTGCCAACATTAAAGAAGAAATTACATTCATGTACTCTAGTTGGTGTTATTGGTGAAATACAGTATCTGACACAGTCCTACTGTTCCCAAATTGGTAATAAATCTGAATTTAGCTGATATGTCATCATGCTGTAAAAATTTTGCACTGCTTTGGTTTCATGTTGAAGTTGTCCTCTGCCTACATGTTGTCATTTGTCAAATGCATGCTGGGTGGCAAGACGTGCCACCAGACATGGATTTGCACAGTGTGATTGAAGTGTCATCTTTCTGTCTGTGCTGGCAGATGGATACTCTGTACAATGTGTTTGGAAGCAGTGTACACAGACAAGCAGCTTGCGTACAAGAGAGTGCTGGAAACGGAAGGGAATGCTGAGAGCCAGAATCAGTTTTATGAAGGTAAATGTCTTAGTGAGGAAATACTGGAAATATAGAACAGTAAATACTTCCTGTGACTATTTGTGCTGCACGACACTCAGGGGCTCTGGAAAAAAACAAGTAAACCACAGCAAAATAAGGTGTCTATATGACTGAAAAATATCATGAGATCTTACTAGAGATTATGTTGCATTTGTCCTTGATTTTTTTTAATATGGAGGTGCCCTGCAGAGTTTCTGACTTCTAGTAAATCACAGCTTTGAGAGATCAGATCCTTCCCACAACTCTGTACATGATGATACATCTGTGAATGTCTTTAGAAACATCAGTAAGACTTCATTTATGTATAAACTGTTTCTCTCCCATTGATCTCTCTGGGCTTACCTCAACAATAGCTTCATCTAAATCAACGTCTCTTAGACCCTGTCCCCACCAGGCTGCTCAAAGACATCTTGCCCCTAATAAACACGTATATATTAGATCTAATTAACCTCTCTCTATTAACAGGGTATGTTCCACAGGCTTTTAAGGTTGCTGTAATTAAACCTCTACTCAAAAAGCCTGCTCTTCACCCAGGTGTTCTAGCTAATTATAGACCCATATCCAATCTCCCCTTTATTTCTAAAATCCTTGAAAAAGCTGCTGCAAAGCAGTTATGTGAGCACCTGTACAAGAATAATTTTCAGTCTGGTTTTAGTACAGGAGCTGCACTGGTGAACGTCATCAACAATCTCCTCCTAGCAAAAGACTTGTCTCCATACTTGTCGTCTTAGATCTCAGTGCTGCTTTTGACACCACTGATCACAGCATCTTGTTACAGAGACTTGAACATGTTATTGGGTTTAAAGGAACTGGGCTAAGTTTGTTCACATTAATGATGAATCTTCCACACAGATTGAAGTTAGTCACGGCTTTCCACAGGGCTCTTTGTTAGGTCCATTTCAATTCATTTTATACATGCTCCCTTTAGGCAATATTATCAGGAAACACTGCATAATTTTCCATTGCTATGCACATGATATTTGCTTATATTTATCTATGAACCCAGATAAATCAGATCAGTTGGTCAAACTTCAGACATGTTTTAAAGACATAAAGGCCTGGATGACCTGTAATTTCTTAGTTCTAAACTTCTAAAATGGAAGTTATTGTACTTAGAAATCTGCTGTCTAACCATATAGTTACTCTAGATGACATAGCTCTGGCCTCCAGTACTGCCGTGAGGAACCTTGGAGTCATTTCTGATCTGATCAGGATTTGTCCTTTGAATCACACATAAACCAAATCTGTAGAAGTGCCATCTTTCACCTGCACAATATTACCATAATCAGGAACATCCTGTCTCAAAGTGATGCTGAAAAAACTGGTCTGTCAGGGCCGCTTGGCGGCCGCTGCCTCTCCTCCGCCTTTCTCTCCTCTGCTTTCTCTATCCTGTGGGCTCTGCACCTCAGCTGTGTTGCATTCCAGTAATTAGCGACTGGTTTGTCGATGCACACAGCTGGGGTGCATCCCGATGATTACCTTCGCCTCCTTATATAAACCTCTGGCAGACGCTCCGTCTT